ACACATAGTTCAATTCAATTTGATTAATTTGATAGTATAAGTACATTTGTTTCTTGGCTTTCTAAGTGAGGATAAGCTATAGGGGTGGGGAGGTTTGATCTACCGTTGAAATGGAAAGGGGAGCAGGGAATAGGGTTACCGAGTGAGAGTGAGCAGCGGTACGTTTGTGAAAGAGGAATTTCTTAGTGACAAATGCCCACTCTCGTAAACTATGAGATGCTATTGCTAAATCAAAACCAGTAGTTGGCTACTCATTCATGACGTCTCATGCCGTCTTCACCCCCACTAAAAACCCTACTCTACCCCCATAGAGATCAAGGAAAACCCAATACCCCAATATGCACGCATGTAGTCCTCAAAATGCCCCAAAATTTCAGAAGTGAGCCGGAAGCCCCACACACAAGCCAAAGAAACGTATCCATCATAATCATAGTCTCCATTTCTGCATAAAGAACAGGAAAAAAGAACTAATTACGATCTAATCTTCGTCTCAAATTTCTCGTCCGACGCATCAACTTCTTGTACTTGTGTTTCTTCATCTTTAGCTTCCGCTGTCTCTTCACACTAATAGCCCACATTGTCGCTCTCTCCCGGCGACGCATTCTAGAGCGCTCTAGATAACTTCTGGGTGGATCTTCGGATACTATAGGGCCGCTTTCGGCTGTATATGTTACTTCACCGGCTGAATCCGTGAATTCGGTGATCGCGAGGAGGGTGTGGTAGGTACGTTGCTGGGGGAGATGCGCTTCCGCTTGCTCGGCGGCGGCTTCTGCGCCTGCTGCAAGAGATTCCTCTGTACTCATTGGAACGGGCGCGGGTGGAGGAGAAAAGGGTGAGTATTTACGAGCGAACATTGAACGGGGTGATTCATTGACGTTGTCGAGATGTTGAACGCGATAGGAATCAGCGGTGATGCCAGCGCGGAGTTCATCTGTCTCTTCGTTCCATCGATCTTGGATATTAAGTTGCTTGAGGGAGCCTGTGGCAGAGTCAAGTGTTTGAAGTGTATTTGATAGAGTGGCTATCACGTCTTGCGATTTATTCGATCGTGTTCGTGGGGCAAAGATAGCGGCGAACGCTTCGTCAGTAACGGCTTTAGGGAAGTTCATAGTGAGGGATATAGGTCTGTGTAGGGAGAAGAATGCGGAAGCGGCAATTTCTGCATTTTATAAGTTAAAACCTTTCCTGTGAATGTTTGAAAGTGTGCAAACTCACGATTCGGCGCAATATGACTGGTACTAGGTACGCTGGGTAGATTGTGCATGGTATCGGCTTTGTTCGCAGACCCGGTTGAAGCATCCTTTGCCTTTCTTCTCCCCCCTTTCGCAGCTTTCTTCTCGCCATCAGGTCTTGCTTGTGATGGAGATGCAGGAACCGCCTGTCCCTCTGTTACTCCCTTTGATCCATCTGCCGGACTGGAAGGTTTCGACGAAGAAGAGGAGGATAATCTCCGTTGGTGGGAACGGAAAGAGAGGGCTTGAGAAGTAGCAGCTCGTGGTGCGACACTATGAACAGGAAGGATTATCGGTAGCGGCGGTGCTGTTAAAACAGCTCTTCGAACGGAAGAGGAAAACATCCTTTCTCACGATAGGTGTCGAGGTGGGTTCTGGTCGATATCCAGAAGATATTTGAATTGAAAGTCTTATCTTAGTTTCCTTGTTCCAAAAGGTTACGAGACGCGCTAATAATTAGGCGCTGGCGTCAAAGTTTATTCACGTGATAGCGCTGCGCTACTCTAGCCAGCGCGTCGATCCAACGTTTACGATGTGAAGTTGATTGAGTTTTTTGGGGGGGAGAACGGGGTGCCATGCAAAATGTTGCAGAGATCTACTCGATCAGGAAATATTCATTGATTTTACGTCCATTTTACCCCATAAATGCCCATCCCTTCCACAACTAATGAGCCTAAAGCCACAATTTCCAAAGCTAGATATGGCTAGTGGGAGATGGTCAAAGTATGATAATATCGGAGCAGTGAATCCACAACTTCATGATGGAAGTATCGGACCTATCCATCTACCAGTAGAGTACCTGTATATACTAGACTCGATTACTCACTATTTCCTGCTGGGTTGAGGTAATAAAGCGAAAGTAGTACTTCGCCTTCAGCCACATACATTTGACATTTGCACAAGTTCATCCCGTGCCCGCACTAACCTATATAGCTTTGATTGTGCCAGCTTGATAGGGATATTCTGATACAGTCATTTTGTAGCACAAAGTTGCTTGGTAATTTCTAGGCATGTGAAGGTCACCTTAGTATTGCGAAAATCTTGTATTCTTGGGATCGAGGATGTTTGCAAATTGTGAGTAGAGTAGAGTTGAAATTGTTATATAAAATCGAGGTATAGTTCAGTACCTATCTTAACGAGACGACATGGCAAAGCGCCAACACTCAGCCATCGTGCCTTTTAATCAGATCTATTGAATCCAAAAGAGTAATCCAGGAATCCGCCAGGCCCATCTCCGCAAACCCGCTCACCCTTCAAAGAAAAGTTGGACACAATCGAAAGGGCCAAAAGAAATCCATCGGACATTGTATTCTGATAGCTCAACGGGCGATGCGTGCTATGGAAGCAATTCCATCATCTTCTGTGAGAACAATGGCTCAACAAATTCTCTGACAAACATTTATCAGTCTGACGCTCCAAGCCAGCTATCAACCCCCGGGCCTCTGTAATAAATCACATTGTTTCCTTAGCCACATACGCACAATAACTGATCGAAAAATTTCAAGTCGCTTTAGCTGCTAAGTATTTCATTTCTTCATTCATCAAAATCATGCTATCATAACATATCATAAACTATCCTCCCAGCCGAGCACCTAGACAACCATTCGTGCGAACAATTCCCTTACATGAATTTACTTGCCAATCCCATCAACCCGCTCATTCCACCCGAGTTTCCACCACCCTGACTTTTCAAATACATCTTAAGAGCCATTTCACCAGCTTTCTGAACCACGCTCTCCTTAGAAGAATCAGAAGAGACGTTTCCTTGACTGCTTTGTTGATCGAACAATTTACTGGCTTGTGCCATTGCCATTCCAACGAAAGCGTTCTGAGAGTTTCCGGACGAGGAGTTTCCAGATGAACCACCGTTGAACATCTTGAGTGCTTGCATTGCGGCGGCACTACCCATACTAGATGAAGATGCCGAAGAACCGCCGGAAGAGCCGCCACCGCCGTAGAATTGTTTGTGGGAGTTGACAGCTTCTATTTTTATATTGTTAGTATGATTTTTTGGATTAGACATTAATAGTGTAGTTGAAATGACATACCTTCTTCATCGACATCCTGATTACCGATGTTTTGTTTGTTTTGGCCCAAGTAACCCAAAACGCTCGAGAACAAGTTAGAATCTCCAGAATCACCGGCATGTTCTTGAGCATGATGAGCTGCGCCCTTCAAATCCTCATCATCGGCACCGTATCCTCCACCGCCTCCATATGGGTTATTTCCACTTCCTCCATATCTCTCATCGCGACCGCCGTGACGGATTTCTTCTTGTCCTCCTTGTCCACCGCCTCCGTAATAGCTTTGGGCTTCTCCGCCTCCTTGGCGACGGTCTTCGTTAAAGTTTCCGCCACCGAATGCTCCTCCGGGTCCGCCTGCTCCGCCATGCTGGCCTTCTCTTCTTTCTGTGAAAATTTGTAAGCTTGTACTTTGCATATAGAGTAGCAAAGGAATGGATATCGGAAAACATACCTTCACCGCCATATCCGCCGCCTTGTCTTCCCTCTCCGCCGTATCCACCACCCTGCTGTCCACCATAGCTCTCCTCATCCCTGCGGCCATGTTCTCTTCTCTCTACAGATCTGAGTCAGCGTGTTCCATCCTCAAGCCCGCTCCCCACATTCAAGACTGTAATTCTTACCTTCACCTCCATATCCTCCGCCTTGTTGACCACCGTAGCCTTCGTTTCCGTAGCCAGACATGATTGCTATTGTTTGATTTGAGTTTGGGTTTGTTTGGGAAATGCTATAGAGACAATACTGTCAGTCAAGAACTCAATAAGAGAAGATGTATTTGTTTTGTTGAGGTGGCTTGTGCGGGGTAATGTTGGAGCTCCGTAAAAGCTTTCGCCGAAAGACCACATCCTGATAATATCTCTAGATCGGAACTTACTATTTGAGGTTCGTAATAAAATTTCTTGTGAAGTGTCAAAAGGAAGAGTGGTATTTTGTGTACAATATTATAGCAACAGAAACAAATCGTTAAAGTAGGTACGCAGAGGAGCTTGTTATATTTTTTAACCCTGAAATCTGGATCAGCAGCGCTGGATTTCAAGGAGGGGAATCATGCAGATGATGACGTTTCGTGGTGGGGTAGCTGAAACCCCTATTGGTGTGGAACATAGAAAGTTCGCTTGATTGGCTTGATTTATTTCTTGGGATACGCTGTGTCACGACTTTCAGCTTGAATGTTCAAATTGAGTTTTTGGACTACATAATGGTAATTATTAATAAGCGTGACTTGAATGTGATATCGAGACGTTGGTGATGAGACATTATGATGGTGTGGAATCAGAGTTTCATCTAGAGACAAAGACCTGGCTTGTTTACTCCCAGTGACTGGCCCACAACAAGAACGATTCTAATATTTTCAAGATGCACGTCATACACTCAAGCAGCAGTAATGAATACTACTTCAATCCGCATGTCGAGGACTTCGATTACCCTGTCTCGAGCCTGTCTGACATTTTGAGTTAGGATGAGTGCTGTAATTACTATGCGCCTACTCATCACAACAAATATTGAGACTTTACTCATGTTGATATTTGGATCATGAGAAAAATGAGATTAATATTATTCTACTACAAAGTCTGAGTAACCTCGTAAAAAAGGAGGATCATATCCCCGCTCCTTATCATCTTCTATCCGTCCAACCTATTGTATAAAACCCAAATGCTGTCCCACGTCTGTCATCTCGTAACAAGACCCTTCACGAAAATAAAAAGCATAAATCCAAAATCATCAAATCATAAACCCAAACACACCCTTATTTCTTCCCCACCGCCTCCATATCCCCCTTCTTCTCCTCCTTCAACCCCTGCAACGTCTTATGCTCCACCTCCAAACTATATCCTCTGACAAATAAACTCGACACCAGCGCCGCTCCAGACAATGCACACATGACAATCCAAATCATTTTTAAACTATCCGCGTACGCCCCCTTCAACTGAGTCTTTTCCAATCCGTCGTCCATATTCTGAATCAATTGCACCAATGCCGTTGCATCCTTACTGTATTCTGTTGCCATGCTAGCAAGAAGTGGATAGGCGAGAAGTTTCTCCTTGATTTGATTTTGAAACACAACACCCCCGATGGCAACACCAATCGCTTGACCGAACACACGATCAAACGAGTAGAAAGCAGCTGCGTGGCCTGCATCCTGAGGACGGGAAGCGGCTTGATTCCCAAGTGACATGGCTGGGAATAACATTCCCGTACCGATTGCGATGGGAACATTGAGGAATACCCATTGCACAATTGAAGTTGATGGCTTGAGGAGATAGAGAAGTCCTGAACCGAAAGTTGCGAGAGACCAACCGGACCAGAGTGCCCATCTGTAGCGACCTGTTTTGGCAACAAGGACACCGACTACTATTGACATGGGCTGGGGATGTGTTAGTAAGTTTGGGAAGCTAGAGGAAAAGGACTTGTATGACTTACAGCAACGAAACTAGTTTCGGGTAAGATGGCTACACCAGAGATGATGGGTGTATATCCCTGAACAGCCTCATAATACAAGGGAAGATAATACAGCAAAGACCAAAGAACCATTCCGTGCATCATTGTTTGAAAGTATATGGAAATCGCTGACCATGTACCGAAGATACTGAAACGAATTATGGGCTGGATATTATCTCCCGGTAGGAGTTCGCCTTCGGAATCGAATGCACGATCGGAGAGTCTTTTTTCATAAAAGGAGAAACCAATTAAACCTACGACGCCAATTAGGAGAGGGAAGAGTACTCTCCACGAATCCCAAGCGTACATTACACCGCCTAGTCTTGTTAGCGATGAAAGTTATAGATTGGAATGGATATTCATACCCCATGTAATAGGAATCAAGAAAGATATTGTTGAAGAAATAAAGATGACGGAACCAAACCAATCGAATCTTTCGACTTTGGCTAATAGATTTCCTGGCGTACGTGTGATTTTCAGGAATAGAATAATTGCGATTGCTCCGGAGACAATGATGGGAATATTGATCCAGAAGATCCATCTCCAAGAGACATTTTCTGCGAAAGCTAGAGGAAGAAGTTAGACGAGTATGCGTAAGAGGGTGGAAGAAAACTTACCACCACCCATCAATGGACCACCAACACTTCCGATAGCCCAAATACTACCTGTTTATACAGTCAGTTGATATACTATCTCACGTCAAGAAGAAACTCATACCCATATAACCAAAATAAGCACCTCTAACAGAAAGAGGAACCAAATCTGTGATGAGAATCTCACCCAGAGACAAGATTCCTCCTCCTCCAATGCCTTGAACACTTCTACCCACCAGCCTGTTAAAGTTTCACCATTAGCAAATATTCCCCAGCCCAGTTTGAGACAACACATACATCAAAGTAAAATTCTTTGCCACAGCCGCCAAGATACTCCCGATACCAAATAATATAGCCGAACCAAGTAATAATTCCTTTCTGCCAAAAACATGGCTTAACCCCGCGATAACAGGCTGAGATACCGCAGAAGTGAGTAAAAACGATGTGCCAGACCAAAAGGCTTCAATAGCTGATCCTTTTAGTTTCGCGGTGATGATTGGCAGGGCGATACTGAGAGAGGTGGCATCAAGTGCGGCGGCGAGAGTGATGAGACATATGGAGGAGAAAGCAAGGATGAAGGTTGTGCTTGGTTTGAATTCGATTTTTGCTTCGACGACGGCATCTGCGGCGGCAGGCTTCTCCTGCATACTGACAGGAAGATCGGAAGCACTGGTATTGGGAGATCTTGCGGGTGAGATTGTGGAAGTCTCCAAGTCCGGAGTTTTCGTGGATTCAACCATGGTTGGAGATACCAAATGTGATGCGAAGGGTACACGAGGAGATTACTGCAATAGCGAAAGAGGAATGTTCAAGTAATGCAAGAACGTATAGACGGGGAAAACTTTGCTAAGACAATATAAAGCTGCCTTGATTTATACAGAGTATGGCATAATTCAAAAGACAGATGCGGGACAAGCATTTCTATATAGACATCTGGTCATGCAACCTAGATCTCAAGAAAAAAAGAAACTAGGTAACTTCTAGAATCCTAGCAAATTCTCAAATGGTAGACATTTCTAATCGCAATCCCAAGGGAGACCAAAAAAACTACGTCCGTACCAACCACATCCCTCCGTTTCAACTCCATTTCAGCCTATCATCAAACCATCAATCTATCAATTGCTCCGTTCCAGCTCCCAACAATGAACCTTCGCTCTAGAGCCCACATTAAACTCCATCCCTAGCAACAAAAAAATGCACTTGCACCTTGTCTACAAAGCTTGTTCGAGCGGGAAAGGATATCTCGGTTCCCTCTTCTGTACGTGGAGACATAATCTCATGAGTTTCCTATAATTGCAACCCTCGAATGTCCCGCTAGTCTCTTCTCTACGCGGGAGACTGGCAAGTGAAGAAGTCTAACAGGTGCGCCGACGGGCCCAGATTGCTCCGTCTTCCACTCATTTGTCCGCTTCGCTGTGTCGTGTAATTACCCCTGCTACACGTGATATGTTTAACGAGCTGACCAATGACGCATCGGTATGAAGAGTCCGCTCCATCCTGTCGTTATTACCTAATCTCGGGCTTGGATGTGCTGAGGTGTCCGAGCTTAGGCGGTACGAGGGTGCGAGGCTGTAAGGCTACCTATGTAGTCTTACCTAGTTCGTATCGTACATGCACGAATTTAGGGGTCCCTTTCCGATGTTTCTTACAAAGCTTCAAGGTTCGATATCAATATCAATACCTATTCATCAACACAAGCACATCAGTTAATGTAAACACCACATTTCACCATGACGCAAACGCGTCTTTCCCTGCTATCCAAATGTCGAATTAATAAGATAAGCGATCTCGCACAACCATTTTGTTACTTCCACATGACGTTTCTCGTTTATGGATCCCAGATCCTATTCTCTTTTCTCGAGCCCGGGTCTCTGAGTACCGGAGAAACGGTGATTTTCAATGCAAGTGCGTGGGCTATGATATGGTGTTATTGGAAGACTTGTTCTGTTGATCCGGGGGAAAGGGGCTGGGTTGATAGAGTTGCGAGTGAGATTGAGAAGGAAACGGAGAAGGACGGGAGGGATGAGAAGGCGATTGGAGAAGGGGAAGGTTTAGAAAAGATAGAGTGGGAAAATGTGAGATGGTGTAAGAAATGTGATGCGGTGAAGCCGCCTAGAGCACATCATTGTAAACAATGTAAACGGTATATCTCCCTCTCTCTGATTCTACCTTTCTAAAATCCAACTCTGGATAAGTATCATAATTAACACCCTCTAGCTGCATCCCCAAAATGGACCACCACTGTCCCTGGACTAACAACTGCGTCTCCCACATCACCTTCCCCCATTTCGTCCGCTTCCTCTTCTACGCCGTATTTTCCCTCCTCATCCTCGCCTTCTTCCTCTGCATCCGCATCAGCTACGTCATTTCCGAAAGTACCCTCCCCTCCTACCTAGGCCCCTCAACCACCTCCCTCACCCTCCTCTTCATAATCACCTGTTCCGCCGGGCTCTCCCTCTTCGCCATGTCCCTCCTCTTTCTACGCACCATCTACTCTCTCGCAACAAACATCTACATGATCGAAGCCTGGGAAATCGAACGCCACGATGCGGTCATCGAGCGCTCAAAATCGAAAAATATGCGCGGCTATGTGTATGCGAATGGAGGACGCAAGGTCAGAGTGCACAAAGTGGAATTCCCCTTTGATATAGGCATTTGGGAGAATATTGTGCAAGCGATGGGGAGTGCGAATATACTTGTATGGTTTAATCCACTTGCAGGGGGACCAAGTTTAGAGAGCGCGGGGACGTGGGAGGAAAATGGATTTAATGATAGGGTGGGTATGTGGCCGCCTCCGGATCCGGACAAGTTGGGAAGGAGGGCGGGATGTGTGGGTGTGGAAACGATCCCGATGGAAGAGAAAGTCTACGGGAGTGTAGAAGAAGAACGAGATGCATTTAGACAGCGTCAAGAAGCAGATTTGAAACGTTGGAAGAAAGATGATATAGGAGGTACTATCAATAAAGGAGATGGGTACTATGAAGAAGATGACGAAGAGGAGGAGAACGAAGACGAAAGTGAAGAATATGAAGAGGGACTCGACGGAGAAGAGGGCTGGACAAATTCGGAAGGTGATAGATTGAGAGATTATGGGGTGGATGAAGAAGCGGATGTGGTGGATGAAGATGAGATACCGTTGGGAGAATTGATACGACGACGTAAAGCGAGGAATTTTGCATCGACATGAGGGGTATAATGTAGAATAGGATGGGATCAAATAAAACGAAATAGATAGAATAAAATGTACTTTTAGAATATAAAATTTCTCACGAAAAGGAACACTGGCGAGACGATATTTAATTAGAACCTCATTTTCCGTCCGATTATTTAACCGAACTATGAAGGAGTCGCTGAACTTCAAACGAACCGTCCACACCATACTTCCACCACCTATCTAGATACATATACCTCACTTGAAACATTCGTTCATTCATTCATTCATTTATTTTCCGCTCACGCGATAAGATCGAGAAATAAAACGCACAATTTGTATTATCTAAAGACCATTGCCTATCTTAGCATTTACTGCCTTACTCACTTTACCCCCGTATTATATTCATTGAGGGATATATTTATCCCTCATCCCTCATCCTTCCATCAATATACCCCCAAACCGCCATTATCTCATAAGTACTAATAATACAAACGTATCGGGGGTCATAAATTCATCTCGTATCCTCCCAATTTATTTCAATCCAATCCATTCCATTTCCTTCCCATCGTTTTTGAGACGCCCAGAAAGAAGAATGATACCGCCCATGTTCGTGTTGAAAATATACAATGAAATTCCGTGTCTTCTCTGAACTGCTTTGCTTGCAAGTGTACTGGGAAAGCAATTCCTAGGTTATCTTGACTTATTCCTTACTTTTTTCTGATTCCCCAAATCTTCAGAAAGAAAATCAGATAGCAAAACAAGTAGCGAAAACCGTCGCAACCATAACCCACCATCCCAAACCCTCTACTATCGTCCTCCCAGCCGCTGAATCCGACCCGCCACTCGCAGTCGTTCCATTAGGCAACGTACCATTGATAAGAATCGTCGATGTACCATTAACCTCCGCGACATTAACCAGCGACTTGTTCAACGCCGCGTAGCTTCCATCTCCGATTATCTGGTCCAGGAATGTCGAGTTTCCACTGTCGTCGCATCCGCATTCGCTGTATGCAGCACAGAGACATGTGACTGGTTTTGTCTGGTTGACACCCGTGGTGTCTGAATCTTGACGAGTTTCGATAGAGGCAGATGTAGTGTTGGTGCCGTTGCGGGTAGCGGAGTGGTTGCGGAAGGAATAGGGGTTGTGGTATGGATAGCTGTAGGCGCCGTAGAGCCAGAGACCGGGGAAGATGGATAGGGCACCCAAACCGAGGAAGACAGGGGCGATTCCGAGAGGTGAACGAGCTCCGGAGGAATATGGTGTTGTTGCTCCTCCGCCATACTATTTGTCGGTTAGTAATCAATACTTGAATCTTTGAGCAAGGTACATACATATCTCCCCCCACCATAAGCAGGCGCGGGACCCGAGCCAGCTTTCGTAGCGCCACCCGACGAAGAGGAAGAGGATGTGACACCTCCTTTCCCGGACGAAGAACCAGAACTATTTATTATCATGTTAGAGCTTGATTCTTTTGAACTCAATCCAGTACATTCCGCCCAAAAACCGAATCTCGGTGCTTTACCCCCAACAGCCGAGATGGTCCCTCAATTCCCCTCCTCAAGATTCTTTCGCATCACTTCGCCTCACAGCATCCATCCCATAAATCTCAGAATCGGAAAGAAGAAATTTCCCATAAACATACCTTGAAGAACTGCTTCCACTGCTTCCACTACTTCCACTGCTACTACTGCCACCGCTCGAACTTCCACCTCCTCCCTTACCGCCACCGCCTCCTCCACCCTTGCGTTTGAATAAATCGCCACCCCGTTTCTCCTCGCGCGAATAGTATGTGAATTCATCGGCTTCGACTACAGGTTGTGCGTTTGCATCGCGTGTGATTAATTCTGCAGAGGGAATGTATTGCGGATGCGCAAATGAGGGAGTGGAGGAGAAGAGTAGCAGTGCTACGGTCCAGAGATCCGTCCTCATGGTTGGCTAGGTGAGGATGTTTATTACTGTGTTTCTTGTGATAATTGATTGATGAAGAGATCTATTATATCGTAATGCGATACGTGAAGGATGAAAGAAAGAAAGAGAAAAGAAGTAGTTGAAATATTATTCTTCCCGTTGAATAAAATGTGTTGGATGATATTGATGTAGATGTAAACACCAAATACACAGATAAAAAATCGGTATGCGACCCAAACTTTAAAAGTTTCCAGAAATGCGCTTTGTTTCACCGTGGATGATTTGTGATGCCGATGTGTTTGCAAACTTCACTTGCGAACTTCACTTGCAACAGGTAGAAAAAGGATCAAGCGAATCGCGTCCGGGGGAAAGTCACTCCATATATACCGGTACTCTACTCTCCCTACATCATTGATGACTACCTAGGTATTCTCCGAATTTACCTATTAGGTACCTAGTAGCAAGTACTCACTTATCCTTTCTCCGACGAATGACCACAGCGAAAGATTTCTGCGGCTTCCCGATTCTGATCCGGAGCACAGCCAAGATTCGCCTCATGATTCGCCTCATCACTTATTAATTAGGTAGAGTAGTTTCTCCTCCGTCACATTCACACTTCACTCTCTTGGGAATGGATTTCAGATCTTTGGGCGCGCTGCCTGGCACTGCCACGAGGTGGCTTGGCAGATGTCATTTGGGTTTTTGATTGTTATTACCGCCCGAGCTAAGGTTCTTACTTTATGTAGGTAAGGTTGTCTATGAGTATATCGGACCGTAATGACGACGATGAGATGTAGGTGTAGAATAGCACGATCTAACAAATCATATATATCATAACCTTTGAACCATCACTTGTTTCCCATCCCATCCCATCCCATCCCTTCCCTTCCCATCACGATTGATCGATAGATAGCTGGATAGAATACGAATACAAATACCTACGGTACTCAACCATAATCTTGAATAACTTACTTAGATATGTAAGTAAAACCAGTTTTCACACCCATCCATATATTCATTCATTCCCCTCTGATTTTTGCTCAACAAAGTGATGTAAGATAAAAGTAAGATAGATATGTACTCTAATCTACGGATAAGACGGAGGAAATTTAAGCATATCCAGTAGCACGATGCCTCCACCACTTTTTCCCAGTTTTCCATCTCCACTTCATGCACTTCCCTTCCCAGCATCCGTACATACGGTAATTACATCGTGGAATTTCAACACGTGATGTGGAGAGGAGTGGCGGATGGATAGATCCGATCTCTTTAGCCACTCATTACCAACAATAATGGCGGGGTTGATCATCTGGACTTTTGTTAGAGTATAACCGGTACTTTTTCCACGCTCACGCTTGCTGGTGGTTGTTGAATGCATGACCACTAGACTACTGGTAGAAATCTTCTAGAACCCCTTCAAAAGATATGTGGAGGCAAATTATTGTCATGGAGCAAGGCTTGTTATCCTCTTAGTTCAGCAATGGAGGCTTAGGATACACACTAGAAGTATTTCTTTGTTCTAAAAGTCTTAGCTGATTCTCACCTCACGGGCTGAGATCGCAGATTCAATGTTCTCCTCGGATATGGATATGGGAAGTATTGAACAGTCACCAAAATCACAGTAGATATTCCAGTGTTATTGATATCTTGTATTAGTACTTTTACTTAGGTATCCACTTTGCTTCAAAATGTCTCGCTTGTATTGAATGATAATATTGCTATCAGAGCTTATAGCCAAACCAAAAACTTCCTAAATTGTTCATCTGATTGGCCCTTTTAAGGCATCATGACAGCTCCTTCTCCAAAACAGCTGGGGCAGTGATGGTCTGACCCTTCAACTTCTCCAATCCTTCTCCACCCTGTAGACATGTTAGCTTAACTGAACCGAGCGGCATGGGACAAGTGAGTGGTTGACTTACGTAACTGATCAATGGAGAAACTTCGATACCATCATCGGTGCTCTCACCGACAACAGTAGCACCTGCAGCTTGTACCCATCGTTTTCCTTGATCCATGATATGTTTCTTACTAGTATCTGGATCATCTTCACCAGTACCCCTCGCGTTCTTCAGTGGTGAGAACTCATCCTCACGTTTGACTTCCATACAGGCAAACTTGTTGAGTTCCAACATTGGGAAAACATCAAAAACAAATTGCTCAAGTTTGATACCGTTTGGCTTCTCAGGTTTGACAGTTGTACCCTTCTCAGTATCCACATAAGGAATCTTCTTTCTTGCAACATGGTGAGGTAACTTGTGAGCCCATTGAGGGATCGACTCAAGAAATCGGAAAGAGTAATAGTGGTTAACAATGTTTGCTGCTCTGAACTTCAAGACATCTGGTTGCTTGGCATCTTTAGCTTCAGCGGTCTCCTTGTCGATTTCAGAATATTCAACAACATCTGGCTTGCCATTCTTGAGAAGGATCAGACCAACAGATTCGGTAGCATCTCTCTTTCGTACAACCTTTGTAGCAATATCGACATCTTTAGAAGCTGAAAATCCAATGAACACTGGATCTGCTACCTTGACGAGACAGTTGTCTACGCAGTAAGCGTGAATGTGTTGAATACCCCGGTTTGTCATGTCAGACATAACATTTGATGTGACGATGGCTTGGTAGATACCACCGTTTCCATCTGGTGCAACAGCAACCTTACCCTTACTCTCCAAGAGAATCTTACCATCATTCGAAATACAAGGGAGAACACCTTGTTCGAAGATAATAACATTCTCCTTTTCCAAACCAAAGTATTTGTTTTCCTCAAAGTAGTCTGCAGTAGGTCCTCGAGTTGGTCCACTGGTCATCACATACCATGGAACAACCACCTTTTTATCCGCTGCATAACCAGCCTTCTTATGTGCCAATCTCTGAACTCTGCGAATGCGTTCTGCCTGAATTTGGAAAAGGGATTTTTCGGAAGGTAGACCAATATTGAAGCAACCCTTTGGAGCTGAACTTCCCAAACGGGTTCCTTGGCCACCAGCCATAAGTACCACTGCAACCTTATTCTCAGCTATCAAATCCAAACCCGTTTCATACCACTTCTCGATATCTTCAGCTTTTGAATCGAGAATACTGGCAGTCGCAGATTCAGGGAGTGGTTCGAGACCAGTTTCTTTGTCGGCATCTTGGGTCTTGGGTGGGTTGAGAGCTGCATCGGTGATTTTGTTGATGTATTCAGGATCGAAATTTGAAAGTTGTTCATAGAGAGCAGCTTTCTCTGCAACTTCGAGGGTATCGTAAAATGCAAAGACTTGGTCTTGCTTTGCTTTGGTGTACTTCTCCTTGAGCTGTTCAAGCTCGGTGGAGCTGGGCTCTTTAGGAGGGGCAGCTTGTGTCTTGCCTCCAATGTGCAATGTATCGAGTACTTTCTGAACGGATTCCATGATTTCGTATTATGTAAAGAATGGTATCGTAATGTATAGGGGATGAAGGATTTGAAAATTGACAAATTCAAGAATCAAATAAATCAGGGGAAATGGAATTTATATAACTTTTTGTTTCTATGTGTCTTGTTGAGGGAAGGCACCGCACAGCCCAGCCCCACCATCCACTCACCGTCATGTATGAATAAGTAAATAATGAGGGTCGCTAGAACAACTTACCATTCTATTTATGTTAATTGGGTATCGTTTCTTTCCTTTCTTCTGTATATGACACGACGCATTTGGATCTTTCTCCATGCATTGCCAGTATGTTGAGGATATTAAAAAGCTATGTACGCAATAATTATGAGTATCTTCATGTTACTTCTATTTGTGTCGCAATTATGGTAACAACTATTTTGGAGAATTCGTCGTTTCAACAGACGTCATTGCTATCCTCTACTTAAAATGCTGACCCGGCAGATTTATTTTGTACATCTATTCGAATGCTCATCACAACCCTAACATCATATCCATTGCCCAAAAATATGGGTAAACAAGTGAACTCCAAATACTTCAAAAAGGAAGAGATGGTAGCAGATGCTGCACCTAACATAACAGCACCAAGCTTTCAAGGCAAATTGGATCTCTCCTCATTCACATACTCCCCAAATCCATCTCCACGCCCTCCACGCCCTCGCCGACAGAATCCCCGAATGACTCCCCGGGATCTTCTGTCAAAATCCTCAACCTCACAATCATCTCTTTCTCCTCTAAAGCAGGAATTCTGTACAGACGCTCCCGATGTCACAGCAGGTTTTCAATCAGAATTCGAAAGCAACCGGTTGGAAGCTTGGAATTGCAAATCGCCCGAGCAAGGAACGCATGAACATAGGAATCATAAAGATGGAATGTCATGTAATGAAGCTGGGCGGAATTCCCCTGAAGGAATGAGTGAGCAGCACGATCGACTCATTAAAATGGAGCTGCGTGGCGATTGTACGCCCTCCCCTATGACTTCGCCTATACCAACAAGTGTTCGAAAGAGGCGATCGCCTATAATGCGCCCCGTCGAAGTTCCTAAGTATGCAAACGCAACTCCTTCTCCCCTAAAACGCAGGCTCGAGTCAATTTCCGCTACACCAGCAAGCAAACCCTCTCCAGCCAAAAAACGTCGTTCCCGCGCTGGCGGAGGCTACAAACCTCCATCCCACTACGCGCATCTCTCATTTCTTCCCGATGTCATAGCATCTAATCTTCTGTGTCTTTTCGTAGGTCTCAACCCAGGTTTATTGACCGCTCAAGTTGGCCACGCCTATGCACATCCTTCCAATCGTTTTTGGAAAATACTCTATTCATCAGGTTGTACCACTCGACTTTTGAAGGCGGAAGATGATGTAAAACTACCAGAATTATATTCTTTGGGAAATACAAATATTGTGGAAAGACCTACAAGAAATGGAGGGGAGTTGTCAAAAAAAGAAATGGATGAGGGAGTGAGTTTGTTGGAAGAGAAGATTAGAGTTTATAGACCGGAAGTTGTAGCATTGGTTGGGAAGGGTATCTGGGAGAGTGTGTGGAGAGTCAAGAAGGGAAGGGCTATGGCAAAGGATGAGTTCAGATACGGGTGGCAATCGGAAGAAGAGAATTTGGGAGTTATAAAGGGTGAAGATTCATGGAGAGGAGCTAGGCTTTTTGTGGCATCTAGTACATCTGGACTAGCAGCATCATTGTCGCCTGCGGAAAAGGAGAAGATATGGGGAGAATTGGGGTCTTGGATTGTGCAAAGAAGAAAAGAAAGAGATGGCTTGATTGAAGTGAAAGAAGAGGTAGAAGATTGTAGCTGAGTTATCCAATTCAAATGTGCATTCATATGCTTAGATTTTTTACACAAAACTTGGATATCTCAACTACATCAACAAACAGATTGTATTCGGTTATCATACTGCACGTGTAGATTCCCGT